GTGAATTGGATCGGATGCCATCTCCTCCAGGAGAGGTAATGTCGTGCCTCCTGTGAGTTCCCACTGCTCCTGAGTGTCTATGCCCGTCTGTTTCCCCGTCCCTCTCCCTAAGCCCGGAGGCTTACTGCGGGTAAGGACGGCGGGACAGGACCTTAACCCCTGGGACAAACACCAGCTCCGCAAAGGACTCGGCACCCACGGGGTGCGGGTCCCAGGAGGACCAGCAGACAGGAGAATAGGAGAGCAAACGAGACCAGTGATCCACGGGTCCGGCGGCGCGGAACAGCCCGGAGCCGGCTGTGATTTGCATACCCATGGTGCACCACGAAAAGATACACTCACGATGCTTGCACTCTCTCCGTGCGGGCGTTTCTGCACTATTTTAGGGCATGATGCCTCTTACAGCATCTTTATGCATAAACTACATGCAGGGAGTGTGTACCACGCAAGCACCCAACAACCATAACTGTGTTAAGTGTTAGCTCTCCCCGCGAGGTTCGAAGCTACACTTGCTAGTATACTCTAGTTTTCCTTCAAATCGTATAAATCTTTCGCCTTTTACTAAAGATTTCCGTGGAGGGAAACAGTTTTGAGTCTTTAAAAAATTTTTTGAGGCTTCGTGTTTCGCGAAGCTAAATTGTGAGTGTTGAAGGTCAGATTATTGTTACCAATTTAATAAAATCTCGGTTTTACGACATATCAGAAAGATTACTCGCGTGTGGTAGTGCACGTCTGTAACCTTAGTTGCTCAAGAAGCTATTGCAGTAGAGTCTCTCGAATCCCGGAACGGAGGTTGCGGTGGTCTGAGATTGTACCACTTGCACTCCAGTCGCAAAAACAGAAGTTTGCGTGACACCTGGTTTTGAGCTGCATTTGGGGTTTATTGGCTTCTGCAGTGTGTAGTAAGACTGGCTTCTTTTATTTCTCGCGTTTTTGTTGCATTTCGTTGCAGATTTAAGAGATAAACAGTGGAAGGCACTTTCAAGTCGTCGGGTCATTAATTAAGCCTTAGTGTGGCTAGAGGTTCAGGAACGGTATATCTCGCCAACCAAACTCCTTGTTCTATCCCCAGAGATAGGAGCTGGTTTGGTGAGACTCTTCCAGACTGATTTTTTTTCCCCAACTCGACTGCGAATCCAAACACAGTTTATGTGGTGAAGATACAAGGTTCCTTCTTCTACAAAGCTTTTTTTTTTTTTTTTTTTGTGAGATAGAGTCTCTGTCACCCAGGCTGGAGTGCAGTGGCACAATCTCGGCTTACTACAACCTCTGCCTCCCGGATTCAAGCGATTCTCCTGCCTCAGCCTCCCGAGTACCTGGGACTACAAGCGTGCACCACCACATCCAACTAATTTTTGTATTTTTAGTAGAGACGGTGTTTCACCATTTTGGCCAGGCTAGTCTCAAACTCCTGACCTCAGGTAATCCGCCCACCTCGGCCTTCCGAAGTGTTGAGATTACAGGCATAAGCCAACGCGCCCGGCCCCTATGGAGCTTTTCTAATGGAACCAAACACAAAACAAATTGAATAAATAACATAAATCCCAGATGAATAATATCTCAGTGAGAAGTGCCCTGTAGAAAGAGAATTTTGATAGAATGGTCTACCTCCTTCCTATTCCCTCTCCATAAGGGAGCTCATCTACTTCCATGGCTTTAAGTAAATGCCATCTGATAGCTAGTGACCCCCTAGTTTACAGCCATCAGCTGGTCCTGTTGACTCCCTTCCATCAGCTGGTCCTCTTCAAAGCGTATGTTTCATCCAACCATATTTTACCACCTCCACTGCTGCCATCCTGGTCCAAGATCTCTTGCTGGATAATTGCAATAGCCCCTAACCGTTCTCCCTAGACCACTCTTCTATCTCGCTCTTGCCCTTCTCTATCCCAGTCCTCCACATAACAGCCAAACTTTTTTTTTTTTTTTTCTCTGACAGGGTCTTGCTGGAGTGCAGTGGCATAATATCAGTTCACTGCAACCTCCACCTCCCAGATTCAAGCAATTCTCCCACCTCAGCCTCCCAAGTAGCTGGGACTGCAGGCGCATGCCACCACACTGGCTAATTTTTGTATTTTTTGTAGAGACGGGATTTCGCCATGTTGCCCAAGCTGGTATCGAACTCCCGGACTCAAGTGATTCGCCCACCTCACCCTCCCAAAGTGCTGGAATTACAGGCAGGAGCCACCATGCCCAGTCCAAATTATTTTTTTAAAGTAAATCTGATCACACATCACTGTCCTGCACAAAACCCTCCAATGCCTTTCCCCATGACACATGGCTCCCTGCAGATCTCTCGTCAAATGTTATCTCATCAGAGGTCTACAATCACTGCCCTGTACAAAATAGTCCCACTCCCACCACATAGCTATTTTTTTAACCAAAACAGGTGCTTTTCTTCATAGCACAAACTACTCCCTAAATAGATCATATATTTCTTTACTTGTCTACGGCATGTTTCTCCTCTTAGAATGTCAGCTCCATGAGGCAAAGACTTGACTTGTTCTCTGATGTATTTATTCCATGACCCTAAATCAATGTCTAGTGTGTGGGCACTCAGTGAATAGTTGGGGAACAAATGAATGAATATGTTTCTAAACACACATACAGAATTTAATCTGTAACACTACAATTCTAAGTATTTTATAAAATTAATTTCATCTTCTTAAAAACTCCACTAAATAGGTTCCATTACCTCCATTTTATAAACAAGGAAACTGAGGCAAAGAAAGGTTAATCACAAAGACAATATGTGGCGGAGCTGGGATTCATAGGCAAGCATTCTGGCTCCAGGAGACACGCTCTTAATCACTATGCTACCTTTTTTCTTTTAACAAGAGGAATCATGCTGTAATTGGTCTATTCTGTGCTTTTTTTCACCAAAGATCATGGATTTTTAAAATATTATAGGAATATACCATAGTTAATATTACCAGTCCTCTGGTAATGGACATATAGATGATTTTCAATTTCTACTATCCAACCAATGCTGTCATGACATGGTACTACTAAGCACATTTTCTGTCTTGAGAGACAATGCTAAATAACTATTTTTAATCCCTGTGCAATATATATACACACACGTGTGTGTGTGTGTATATATATATTTTTTTGAGTGTGTGTGTGTGTGTGTGTGTGTATATATATATATTTTTTTTTGAGACAGAGTCTCACTCTGTTGCCCAGGCTGAGTGCAGTGGCACAATCTCAGCTCACTGCAACCTCCGCCTCCCAGATTCAAGCAATTCTCGTGCCTCAGCCTCCCAAGTAGCTGGAATTACAGGCATGTGCCACCACACCTGGCTAGTTTTTTGTATTTTAGAGACAGGGTTTTGCCATGTTGCCCAGGCTGATCCCAAACTCCTGAGCTCAGGCGATCCACCCACCTCGGCCTCCCAAAGTTCTAGGATTACAGGTGCCAGCCACAGTGCCTGGCCTCCTCCTGTACAGCATATTTTCATATGAAGTCCCTGAGACAGAAATCTAACGTTATTTTCTTCTAAATAGTCAAGTGTCTCTCATTTTAGATTGATAGTATCTTGCTTTGCAGCATCTTTAAAACTCTTTATGGAATAAAGTGGCATTTAAATGAGGAAATAGGCCGGGTGTGGTGGTGCTTCATGTAATCCCAGCACTTTGGGAGGACAGAGTGGGACGACTGCTTGAGCCCAGGAGTTTGAGACCAGCCTGGACAACATAGGGAGACCTCATCTCTACAAAAAGAAAAAAAAAAAATTAGCCGAATGTGATCAAACATGCCTGTAGTCCCAGCTGTTAGGCAGGCTGAAGTGGGAGGATTGCTTGAGCCGGGGAGGCTGAGGCTGCAGTAAGCTGAGATCGCACCACTGCACTCCAGCCTGGGTGAGAATAAGGTTGTGTCATAAATAAATAAATAAATAAAGTCATTTACTTAACATTTACATAACACTGATTATCTGACAGAGATGAGGAAGCAAAAACCAGTAAGACACCACTCCAGGCCCCAGGGATCTTTCTTGAGGGAGATTCACATCCTCGGGGAAACAAGATGTATGGTGAATGAAGGAGGTGGCAGAGGGGTCTGCAGTAACTGAGTAAGTATGGAGCTAGAGGACTAATACCTCCAGGATAAGTGAATTTATGCAAAGATCGTATTTGAGAGAAGAGGTGAGGAACCACTCACTAGTAGTTTTGAGTGCCCTGAAAGTGAAATAGATTGAATTTTGTCCTGGAGGTCAATGGGATGTTCCAGGACTTAAGTCCCATAGGACTGACAATCAAAGACCGGTCTGGTTGCACTGTGGGAAATGGACTGAGGGGGCGCTGGAGTGAAGGCAGGAAGGCTGTGAGATGTGTCAGACGGGACAGGTTGAACCTGGGGCGGTGAGAACTGAACCAACTGGAAAGGTGTCCTACAAGGTAAAAGAGACCTAAGGCAGGTGTGAGGAAGAGGGATAAGGCAAGGATGAGATCCAGATTTCTGGCGTGTGCACCCACGGAAATGAGAAACACGATAAGGGAAAGCTGGGGAGATCAATTTCACACTGAGCCTGTGGTGTCTGAGGGGCATTCCGGGAGCGATCTCCAGGGGGGCAGGAATGTAATGAAAGAAGGGGCTGAAGCCGGGCACGGTGGCTCACACCTGTAATCCTAGCACTTTGGGAGGCTGAGGCCAGCGGATTACATGAAGTCAGGAGTTCCAGACCAGCTGGCCAACATGGTGAAACCCCGTCTCTACTAAAAATACAAAAATCAGCGGGGCGTGGTGGTGCATGTCTGTAATCCCAGCTACTCAGGAGGCTGAGGCACAAGAATCGCTTGAATCAGGGAGGCAGAGGTTGAAGTGAGCCGAAATCGCACCACTACACTCCAGCATCGGCAACAGAGCAAGACTATCTCAAAAAAAGAAAAAGAAAAAAGAAAGAAAGAAAGAGAGAGCGAGCGAGAAAGAAAAAGAAAGAAAAAAAGACAGAGAAAGGAAAGAAAGAAAAGAAAAAGAAAGAAAGAAAGAAAGAAAGAAAGAAAGAAAGAAAGAAAGAAAGAAAGAAAGAAAGAAAGAAAGAAGAGAGAAAGAGAGAAAGAGTTGAGCTGAACAGATAGATATGTGGGAGTCATCAGAACAGACTAGTAGACGACAATGCCCCCAGGGGCAGGGCGTAGAGTGAGGGCGTGGAGCGACGGAAATCCTCGTTTTCGAGTTTCGCCCCCGCAGGGAGGCCCAGCCCAAGCCCTGCCCGACCCGGCCCCGACCCACCTCGCCCACTCGGGTTTGACCCCGCACAAGAGGCTGCGCGTGGCAGACAACGGTTCTTCCGGCGCCCGGCTTACTGGGCATGCTGGGAACGGAAGCCCGCTCCGAACGCCGAGCACTTCGGGAGCTGTAGTTTGGGGCAGGCTCAACTGGGCGGGTCCAAGGCTCCCCGTGAGTCCCGGCGTTGGATCATTTAAAGGACAGGTCCAGAAAGCGGTGATGCTCCCGGGGCAGGGTGCCTCTCCGGCGGCGACACGGGGCGCCCCGGGCCTCATCCCCTCTCCGCAGGGCATGGCATTTCCACGCCTCCACAATCTGCTCCGCCTGCAGAGCAAGGCCAGTCAGTGCGCAGTACCGCGGTGGCCCCTCGCCCCGAGGACCGTGGCCGGGCCGCTCCTGCCCCCTCCCAGCGCCCTGTACCCCCTGCTGAGTGGAGCTGGGCCGGTTCCCCGCGTCCGCACCGGGATGAGTGGTTCCTGCCGGTTCTGCTCTTCCAGGGCGCTCAGCTCCGCCGGGGCCAGCAAGGCTAGTCTCAGCTCTTTCACCACCGGGGCCGCCACCTCGGCCACCGGCCTCTCCAGCACCGCCTGCGAACGCCAGCCCTGAGTCAGGCACTTGTCCTGCCACCCGCTCGCTGGGCTTGTGGCCCGCACCTCCTTCCGTGCCCTTGCGCTCCCCCAGCCCCACTCACCGCGCCCACGCGCGCCCAGCTCCTGGCCGCGCGGACCAGTCCAGCCTCGTCCACGCAGAGCTTGTCGCTGCGGAGCAGGGGCAGCAGCGCGGCCGCTGACAGCTCCAGGAAGCCTTGGGACCTGAGGGCCTCCTGCAAGCCGGCAAATGGGTCAGGGAGGAGCAGAATGCGGTGCGTGGGGTGAGGAGTAAGAAGGGAGCAGTACCTGGCTGTGGGCCTCTATGAAAGCCACGCAGCGCTCCTGCAGCGGCCCCAGGCCAAAGGTTACGGCCACCTGCGAGCACAATGAGGGAGATCAGGTTGGAGACTGGAGAGGCCGTGTAGCCCAACCTGCTCACTGGGACCCACCACTGCAAGCCTGACCCTAGCCCTAGCTGGGGAGGCTGACAGGGCTCTCGGCCTTCCAGGAAACTGGACCCAGTGAAAGCCTGGTACACACACACACACACACACACACACATACGTGGACTCACTGTACAACCTGCTCTTCCCTACAGGAGACCACGCCATGGCCTTCAAACCCCACCTGGGGCCTAGGCTTGGCTTTTTTTTTTTTTTTTTGAGATGGAGTCTCCCTCTGTCGCCCAGGCTGGAGTGTGGGTGCGATCTCGGCTCACTGCAACCTCTGCCTCCCGGGTTCAAGCAATTCTCCTGCCTCAGGCTCCAGAGTAGCTGGGAGCATGCCACCACATCCAGCTAATTTTTTGTATATTTAATAGAGATGGGAGTTTCACCGTTTTAGCCAGGATGGTCTCAATCTTCTGACCTCTTGATTCGCCCGCCTCAGCCTCCCAAAGTGCTGGGATTACAGGTGTGAGCCATCGTGCCTGACCCAACTTGGCTTCTAAAGTCTACAGCCACCCTTCCCCCTACCTCAAGTCCAGCTGAGAACCATTCCCCAGCGCTGATAGAGAGAAGACCAGCAAAGACCTCCAGCCCCTTCAACACCTGCTCCTGCACCTGACCCTGCTGATATACCCAGGATCCCGCATATCTAGGCACAGAATTCATCCTGTAAACCTCCTTGGAGCACCGCCACCACCACCATGTACCCAAGTTATTTCAAGGCCAGACACAGCAGGCCCAGGCTCCCAGCACCTGGGAGCCCATTTCCACACACACAGCCAGACTCCTCCCATGCCTGTCCAGCAGCACCCACCTGCAGGGCCTCACAAACCAACTCCACATCCAGCACCTTCACCACAAACTGCAGGCACAGCTGGGAACAGAAATGAATGTGGGTTGTGTGGCGGTGTCCCTGCTCCAAGACACTAGTTCCACCCCAGAAGCAGTGAGCAGGCTTGGATTGGTGAGTCACCCAGCAGCCCCAGACCCCATCCTGACCTCCCAGGCCAAGGGAGGCAGGGCATTGCTAGAGCCTGAGAGAGCAGGCTCACAGGAACTGGAGACTAGCAAAACCAAGCCCAGCCACCCACCTTCTAGCACATTTGCCACTAAGCAAGACCAGATAAAAGCCATGCAAAATTCTCTCCTTCTTTCAGGGTGCTTATCTTCCTCCACTTGTTCCTTTCCTGATTCAAGGATACTTCTATTTTTAGCAGAAACTTGAATTTCATCTGTGACATCTCTCATCTCTTGACTGCTACACTCGCCTCCTGAATGGACTAGCAAGTCCTCTCCACCTCTTCCAATCCCTTCTCCCCTGAGCTTCCAGTTCTTCACTCCCTTATCGGAAACCTTCAGTGAATCTCCACTGCCCTCTGCTTAAAAGAAGTCCAAAAGCTTGAGGGCCCTACATGAATCAGGCCCTGGCGTCCTCTGCAGTCTCATCTTGCCCTCTCCTCACAGTCCAGACACAGACACACCAAATGTCTCACTGGCTCCTTTGGTGCCTCTGTGACTAGAATGCCATCTTCCCACTTCCCCTAGGAACAAAATCCTATTTGTTCTACCAGATCCAACACATATGTTTCCTTCTCCAGGAAGTCTTCTCCTCTCCCTAGTGGTGGGACTGGAGAGGTCCCCCATACAGTCTTGGCACCATTCACCCTTCTCTGTCACTTTTTTTTTTTTTTTTTTTTGAGAGCAACTCTCGATCTGTCACCCAGGCTGGAATGCAGTGGTGCGATCTCAGCTTACTACAACCTCTGCCTCCCAGGTTCAAGCGATTCTTGTGCCTCAGCCTCCCAAGTAGCTGGAATTACAGGTGTATGCCACCACACCTGGCTAATTTTTGTGCCTTTAGTAGAAACGGGGTGTCACCATGTTGCCCAGGCTGGTCTGGAGCTTCTGGGCTCAAGTGATCCACCCGCTTCAGCCTCCCAAAGTGCTGTGATTACAGGCATGAGCCACCGCACCCGGCCTCTATCACACTTCTTATGCCACCCAGATAAGAGTTTTCATGTGTCTGTCTCCTCTCCCTCTCTGGAGAACAGGGATCAAGGCTGACATCTTTGTATCTACAGCACTAGCCATAATCACCCCCTCTTTGCCACAGCACACACAGGGCAGGCATGCATGGATCCTTTTGCACACAGGCACACATACATGCCCTACTTACACGGGAGAGACATACATACTTCTCTCCGTGTGGGCACACGTTCCTCTCTAGGCCAGAGTGTGTGTGAGGCAGGGCGGGAAGTGAGCCGGTGAGAAGCAAGGGAAATGAGACATGGACCTGGCACACAAACCCACCTCTCTCAGTTCCTCCAGCCCATATTCCACAGCCGCTGTCAGCACTTCTAGCACCTGTAGAGTGGGTGGTGGGGGGAGTGGAAGGGAGTTTCCCCTGCCCTATGCCCACAGTGTAATGGGCAAACTCTTGCCTCTGGCACCCCCCGCCTCTCCCACCCAGGACCCTGGTCAGCGGGCTCACAGAGTGACGGTGAAGCTTGACACTGTTGGTATATAGGAACTCCAGCACTGCCAGGAAGGCCTCAGTTGGCACAGTGCTTAGCACCACAGGACTAGGCACCCCGGGGCCTGGCTCTGTGCCCAGAAGTCGCTGGAAGAAGTTGCATCTACAGGCCAACAAGCACCGATGGGCAAATACCTCCTGCCGTTCTTGACCGACCACGAAGCAAACATCACTGTGGGAGAGAGGCAGAGAGCTAGCGGAGAGGAGGCCAGCACCTGGAGTGCAACTTGGGCTGTGCCTTTGCCCACTCTGGGTCTTAGTTTCCTATCCAGAATGTAAGAGACAGGGCTTGGTCCCTCCAGCAGAAGGTCTGGGACCCAAAGCCCTGAGTTCTAGTCCCAGCTCCACCTGGTGACTTCCTATCTTTGAATCTCAGGTTTCTCACCCATGAAATGGGACAATAATCCTAAACCTCAGGTCGCAGAGGAGGTGACTATGCTTGATTACTGAGGGGCATCTGGACGAACAGAAGCACGGTTGATCCCACCTTTCCCTCTCCTCCCCAGCCTGAGTCTTGGGGGAAGGGAAGCTTCTTTTGGCTCCTCCTCCACCAGCTGCAAACTCAGCTTTTTTCAGCCCTCCTCCAGACAGGCGGGTGTGGGGGTGTGGGGCACAGAGTGCGCACTGACTGCAAACAGACACAGCAGTGATGCACCATCATGAGCCAGACCACAGTTTCCATCTTCATGATCACTTCCGGCCCCAGCTCTGGGCCTCTAAACAAGGCAGGGGATAGGAGGCAGATGAGGCTGGAGCCTCCTAGAGCCTCTTAGTCCCAGGTCCAAAGCCTGGGGCGTTCACATTACCCAGACCAGACTGTGACCCCAAAGAAGCAGGGTGATGGAAGTCACCACCCTTTGGGGAAGAGCTCAGATCTGAGACCATGAGGACAGAGAGCTTCATTCTAGCTCTCCTGAGCAGCCCGGCCTCCTGTAAACTCTACCCCTGGTTTCAGACACCACTGGCATCCTGGCCAGCAGGGAGCAGCCAGCACTCCCGAGGCTTCCTGTCAGGGACTATGGCTCAATTCCTCGAGCTCTGTTCTTTCTGTGAAGCCTCAGTTCCCAGAACAGGTCATCTGTTCCTTTTCTTCAAGCAGGGAGGCCTCAACACCAAGCTGAGTGAGTGGAGGGAGGAGGGGAATCATGACCCACCATCTCTCAGGATCCCAGGGGCTGAGAATCATTCTCTTCTGCCAGGAGCTCAAAGTCCAAAGAAGGAAGGGCTTCACAGCAGCTCCAGGCTCTAGCCTCCAGGACCCTGCCAGCCTTGTCTCTGGCCCTCAGGGTCTCACAGACACTGAGTGACCAGCAGCCATGTTCCACATTTGACCTCCCCACAGCGTGAGTTCACCAGGGAGGACGGCCAAGTTCTAATTCCCAGCCTCTTCTCACCAGGGCCTCCTTAGAGTCCTGGGGCCCTCAGAGCCAGCTAAGGAAAACCCGCAGGCAGGGCCCACCCCTCACCTGTATCGTGGGTTGTTGACGAGGCTTCGGAGTGCTGCGGAAAAAGGTTCAGCTTTCCCATGCACGACCAGTCCCAGGGGCTCCATGGGTGAGAAGGGGTGGGGGTGGAGGAGGGAGCCTAGGAGGCCTGGCCAGGTCCTAGAGCTGGTGAGGCTAGCAAGGCCCGAGAGGGAGAAGCAGGGACTTGGGAGGCCTGTTTGCTGAGAAGCTGAAGTTTAGGAGTGGAGCAGGAGGGGCCCAAACTACTGAAGGCATCAGGGGCCAGAGGCTCAGGGACAGGAACAGACACAGGGAGGGGACCGGGCGAAGCTGAGGCTGGAGTGGCCTATGGTCCTGGGAAGAGGCTGGCTGGCTGGCGGCGGCGAAAGAGGCCCTGGCTGGGAGTCTGCCCAGGCAGCCGCCGGGTGGGAAGCCTGTGGGTTTCCATGGAAACTGGAGCAGGCCTGAGAAGAGACTCCACCCATCTCCCAGGCAGGCCCAGGGAAAACTTCAGCCCTTAGAGGGGCACTAAGCGCCGTATGAGAGTCTTAACCCCCGAAGCCGAGCCTGCCCTAGGTTCAGAGTTCAAACTCCTTACCCTCATAACCCTTCCCTCCTCCACAGGCACACAGGGTCAGGATCTGCTTAGCCAGGCCTGGGAATCCCCCACTCAACAGGGAAAATCCTCGCCCCCATAGATGGGTCAGGGCCCAGACCTGGCTTGTTTGGGAGGGGACAGTCCCGTCCCCGCCAGAGGGGGAGTCACATGAGTTGTCAGCTCTGGCAGAGGTGTCACAGCCTCTGGGGAAATGTAGGTAGTAGGGCACACAAGAGGTATAGCCAGCTAGGGACAAGCCCCAGAACACTTGGGTCAGCAAGGGTCACGAGGCTGGACTCGGTGTTCACCGCCGAGTCACTACCACTTTGTAAGGCCTGGTTCCTACCAGCTGAGCCAATGGACCTCCCCTCCCCCGCACATAGCCCTGAACTGAGGAAGTCATCCAAGCCCCACCCTAACTGTGCGCCGGGAGCGGAAATGTTTGTCCTTGTCGAGGCTGACTGACGGGGAGACAACAGAGCCATGACGTGTTCCTTCCTGTGGGCCCAGACCCTGGATTCCTGAGCCACCACCCCCGCAGCCTCAAGATCTCCCCCTATCCTAGGCCTCTGTGACTTGTTCATAATGGCCAGTCTCCACAAGGGGAGAAAACGGGCCCTGGCTCAAGTGCCCTGGGGTAGGACAAAGCCTTTCTGACCACAGCCTCCCTCTACATCTGCCCCTCTGTCGCCTGCGCTTAGGAAGTTTGCCACTGAGCTGCAAGACCCTGTCGGCCGCTCTCCCTGATGACCCCACACGCAGCACATGCCCACAGTTAACAGGGCTCTCAGGTGAAGCCAGAGCCGGACTGGAGGGAGGGATCCTTGGAGGGAGGAGTGTTTGCTCCAGCAACCCATGGCAACTCCACAACACAGGTCCTTCCCCTCCCACTTGCCCCTCAGGCCAGTGGGGCCAGGGCTGTGGAGCCTGACAGAACTCAGAAGCCAAAGCCTGCAGGTGACTCAGGTGCCTGAGGGAGTTTCGGGAGCAGAGGGCAGCCATCCCAGAACTGATTCTGGAGGAAGTGGGATCAGAGGCCAAAGGCAGAAGGTGGAAGGGGCTTCACAAGTCGTCTGCCCTCAGCCTGGGCCAGGTGTAGGGGAGACCTTTGTGCCAGCCACCCTAGAGTAGATCTGGGTGGAAGATGACTGGATTCAACACCCCCAGGGCTGGAAGGATCTGTGGGGTTGAAAGAGGTGATCTGTCAGTCTTTCCTGGTTAGGGGTTGGAGGCACTGCCTCCATGGTCCAGGCTGAGGCAGAGGCCTGCTTCTCCTTCCAGAGAAGTAGGGTGGAAGGGAGAACTGGCAGTCTCTAAGACTCCGAGCGTACCTGGCTAACCTCCACAGTGCCCAGAGAAGGAGCTCAGCAGGCAGGGACTAGCTCAGGATCCCAGTCCCAGCAGCCTCCTGTCCCTTGCTCATGTGTCTAACAACCTTTAACCTTCTCAGCACCTAGGAACCCAGGCAGCCTGGGACTATCTGATCCACTTGTTCTAAAACACAGGTAAGAAGGGAGTAGAAGGTAAAAACCCTTGACATCACTGAGCAGGAGGCTGGGGTGGGTAGACAGATGCCCAGGGAAGGCCACCCTGAGTGTGGGTCGTCTAGCCAGCAGGTCCATGGCCAGCAGGCCTCTGCCCCCGGGACGCCAGGAGGAGGAGAATGCCAAAGACTACGGGCCGAAACCCTCACCAGTGCGGCCCCGAGGCCGCCTGCCCAGCATTGATGAGGCGCGACCGGCAGGTCCAGGTCCTGGCCCGGCCTCTCGCCGGGGCTCCATGCTGGGCCTGGCCACGTCCTTCTCCCGTCGCAACTCGCTGGCCGGGCCAGGCGCGGGTCCTGGGGGTCGGCGGCCATCCCTGGGCCCGGTGCCCCCTCTGGGCTCACGGGTCAGCATCTCAGGGTTGCCTCTGGCGCCCGCCCGTCAGGTGGCGCCCTCCTACCGCACGGAGCCGGTGCCCGGGGAGCGCTGGGAGGCTGCGCGCACAGCATGCCCTGGAGGCGGCACTGTCCGCAGGGCTGCGCGACGCGTGCTACTCCAGCGCCGAGGCCGCGCGGCTGGTGCAGGAGCTCTGCGAGCAGGTGCACGTTCGCCTGCGCGAGCTTAGCCCGCCGCGGTACAAGCTGGTGTGCAGCGTGGTGCTGGGGCCGCGAGCGGGCCAGGGCATTCACGTGGTCAGCCGCGCACTCTGGGACGTGGCGCGCGATGGGCTGGCCTCGGTCTCTTATACCAACACCTCGCTCTTCGCGGTGGCCACGGTCCACGGGCTCTACTGCGAGTGAGGGGGAGTCCAATTCTGCAAAATTGTTTATTATCCTAGGAGGAGGCCCCCCTGGGGCTCACATCCCAATAAATAAGTGTCTGACAATAAATAAAAGTGGTCCATAAATAACGCCCCCTAGCTGGGAGCTAAGGCTCAGGCTTATCTTGGAGAGGGGGTAGGAGCCAGCGAAGACAAGCTGCCCCCAACTCCAGTAAAGCTGGTCCCTGATTCCCTGGGGGATTCGGCCCAAAGCCCCCAGTGAGGCACCAAAGGAATGGGGAGGGCCACAAAGGCAAGGGCCAGAGCCTTACAGGCACAGGCCTCAGGCCTCAGGCCTCAGGGCTTGGGTCCTAGGCTGGGCTGCGGTCCCGGAGCAGGCGCAGAGCATAGCGGAGTCGCTGCCGCAGGTCTGGAGAGCAGCCCAGCTGCCGAAGGTGGGAAGCGAGGTAAGTACAAGCACTACGATTTCGGGCTACAAAAGTCACAAGGAGGGGCTCCCAGCCACTGAGAATCAGCTTGGTGTGATCCCCGTAGAAGTTCACCTGCACACAGGAGCATGACAGTGGTCAGGACCTAGGCTCCGGACCCAGCTTCCTCCCCAGCACCCTGGGCCTCCCAGACCTTCCCCGAAACTCCTGGAAAGGCTCTTACCTGGACAGTGCCATCACTAAACAGCATGAGGAGAGCCTGGTCCGTCTTGACCCACTGCAGCAGCAAGGGTGGAGCAGGTACCTCTACCTCTTCCACACTGGGCAGATCTCCACCCTGGGAGCAGGATCAGAGCAGGTCACTGATCCAGCGTGAGACAGCCCCCTCCCCATTAGTGTATGTCTTATCCTCTAGCTTGGAGCACCCCCACCATCACCAAGGGGGAATCAGAGAGCTCAGGATGGGTTAGTTTTCAGTGTACCACAGCCCCAGCCCTCACACCTTCATGAGGTGCTGCTCCATGTAGGAGGTGAAGTACCGCAGGATACTCAGCTGAGGCTGCAGGGCCCGGGGCACAGCACCCACGGAGAAGGAGAAGTGCTTTGTGCTGGTGGGGTTGTAGTGCACAGTCCTAGAATGGGGAGGCAGAGGTCAGAGGGAGCCCTACACCGATGCCCCTCCCCTGAGAAACCCAGACCCCTGAGCCCAGGAGCACGCAGGAGGGTGCGGCCCTGCTGGGTTAGTGGCCTGAATACAAGGCACCCCATAACAGCACTTACTTTCTGTTGGCTGACAGGGCCATATGTGTGCCATCGTTGAAGAGCACAGCCACACGGCGGCTGGACAGTTGATACCCAAAGCCGAACTTATTGGAGTAGTCAACCCACTTGCTGACCCACACCAGAGGCTCTGGCTGGGCCAGCGGGGCCGGGTTCTGTTCCGCTGTCATGGGAAAGGAGGGAGTCAGGACCTGCTCCTGGCTGCCAGGAGCAGAACTCCCAGCCACAGAACTCCCACCACAGCAGCATGTACCAGACCCCAGCCTTACCTGGGGGCATGAAGGCCACACAGTTTCTCAGCGCACAGAGGGCTGACTCCACTACTGTGGCCACAGTCAGACCTTCTTCAAATCCTGAAGGAGACAGGGCACGGAGATTTAGGAATTAGCACCCCAGGACCCAGGCCAGGCCCCTCTGCCCACTCCTTCCCTCTGGTCCCTGATCTCAGCTCCAGCAACCTCTGGCACCTCTCATCCTCCCTGGCTCCTCACCATCTCCACTGCTTGCCAGTGTCCCACGGGGTGAGCTGTCCTCAGGTGCTGTCTCTACCAGGCTGACAGGGGCTGGGCCAGAAGCTGCTGGAGCCTGGAGGGTTGGGCAGGGAAAGGGAGTGAGACAGGCCCCAAAATCCAAACCCTTGAGTCCATGGCCCGGCCCTGCCCTGCCTCCCAGGGCACCCCAGGTCAGCCCCGCCAGGCTGGTGACACACAGCCAATTAGGCCACCACGAGGTTGGATGCTTCAGCAGCCTATTATCCTGGGCTTCCCTCAGCTGCTAGGGTGGGGGTGAGTCAGGGGAACAGTGTCCACGTGAGCGCCTCACCTCTGGCCTGGCATCCTGATGGCCAACCGACGTGCGCATGAGGCCGCTTACCAAACAGGAGACCTCGTCCCTCTCCTGGGCATGATTCTTACCTGGGGGTGAAGGATGATACCATCCTCAGTATCCTGCCCAGCCCCTCCACTTCCCACAGGGATGACACAGAGATTGGCCTCCCCAAGTGCCTGTACTGCACATGCTCTCCCCAGGAGTTGCCAGGCACCCACACTCACACACCCGAGACGAATGGGACAAGCTGCTCTGCTGCTCTGCCCCCTCAACCCACTGACACCCCAGACTCACTCTTGTTCTTCTTTCTGCCAAAGAGGCTCTTGGTAACTTTGGCAAACAGACTCCTAGCCGGGTTGGGGGGTGTCAGGTCTGGGACTGTCACGCAGCTGCTGATAGGGAGTCGATCGGGGGTGTAGCCCTAGGGAGGGGAGCCGTGTGAACAGAGAAGAGGGGCTCCAGGGGCCCTGTCACCTGCACTCTTTCAATCCCTGGGAATACGCAGATGGACTTAGAGGTCTGGGGAGCCACAGACCTTGGTAAAGAAGTCATGGCGCAAGATCTGGTCAATAGAGGGGCGGTCTCGGGGTGAGGCCCGAAGGATGGCAGCCAGGAGCTGCCGAGCAGGCAGTGAGAGGCTGGCAGGCAGCGTGTAGTGAACCTGCTTGATGCAGCGGTATGTCTCCTTCAGGTCAGCTGTCTCAAAGGGAGGGCTCCCGCAGAGCAGCGTGTACCTATAGGGCAGGGCCAAGGGGTCAGGAGTAAAGTGGAGGGGATACCCCACCCACACACCCACCACCTGTCTGCTGCCGAACCTGGACCCTGAGACTCACATGACACAGCCCAGTGACCACACATCCGCCTCGGGCCCATGGCCCTGTCTCAGTAGCACTTCTGGAGCCACATAGTTGGGGGTGCCACAGATGGTCCTGAAAGAGGGTGGGGAGGAGGAGAAAAGGCTGAGACCCAGCCCAGCAGCCCCCCACCCCCTCCCCCACTGTGAGTCCAGACAAAGCAGCTGCCTGTCACCAAAGGCCAGAGAACTCCTGCTTGTCCTGGGACAATGGATGCCAGGGATGGCAGCTGAGTCCCCGCCCACCCGCCTGGCCCAGCTGCTCAGCTGCTCTTCATGACAGGGGGAGGGCCTGACCCCCAGCCCAGTCCCCTCCTCCAGGGTCAACACAGAGAGTCCACAGCTGATCCCTTCCCCCTTCCTGCACTCCTGTCTCTCAGACAGTCATCAGGCTGTCACCTCCCACGGTTTGTGCCACACACACACCAACACCAGCTGTCACAACCCCCATAAACACTTATCTGCCACATATGCTGTCTGTGTCACACACACAAAGTACGATGGTCACAGCAGGGTCTTCTTACACCCAGTGTCATATCCTACCATTCCCACACTCTCAGTCTGTCTCTCACACACACACACACACACACACACGCTGCCTGTAACCTTCCCCCATCCACACGAAGGGTAAG